TTATCTTCGTGAACCTATTGATCTACTTGGTATGGACGTTATTGTGACCTTTTAATTAAAAATATGAAGTATATGAAATTCTGTCTATCTTATAAAAATCGATAATTTTATTAATATAAAAATAGTGGTCATTGGATTGCTCACTCTTGTGCATCGCTACTTCAGATTGCACGAATACGTTCGTTCATTTATGATGATTCATTGGTTACAACTCTCGTCCATCCCACGAGATTGCTCATGACTCTAAATAACGGCACGTGTTTCTAGAATTCCCGTCGTCTTGCATCATCGCGCAATATTTGCCGCCCACGTAAATTAATAATCGATGCTATCGGACGGTATTTACAGTAAACGTCACCGGACGGTGACGTTTCGGGGGAGAGGGTGGGGGAGGGTTGTGCACGGAGGAAAGTGTGTACGTCATCGAGCGTTGGCGCGTCGTCGGTGTGACGTAGCGGAAGTCATGCGTCACCGCTGACGTAGCGACGTCGGAAGAGGAGGAACGTCCGAAAGAGGCCATTGACGAGGACTTGTTGCACGTCCTTTTCTGCATGCGTCGCCGGCAAAACCGCGAGATTACCGCGCGCCGTCGCGTTGCGGGCAGAATCTAATCAGATGTATGAAATCTGACGTCACGATGGAAAACTCGTTCTTATACCCACGATCTTTCTTGCGCGTTAAGATAAACGCGTCTAACAACGATGGATATATCGCTATCTCTTGTTAATCAACAATGATGCAAAGTATAAATTAATAATAATTTATTGTTAACTTCAGCTACATAGCCAAGAAGTGGACTTGGTTTACAAATAGCCTTAATCATTCATCCTTCCATTCATACATTACTATCCTAACTTACAAGTAACTATGATGCAAAGTATAAATTGCTCTTCTATGAAAATGAAAATAGGCTCCTTGTTGCAATAATTTTTGTTTTTTACGTGACGAACAGATTCCGACCATTATTAGATAACGCAATAGCACTTGTTAAATTATTTTCTGAGATCAGCCTGAAGTCAAGGAACATCCGCGATCGAGACACGGAGCCTTCGTATAGACTGACGTTTACTCGTTGCATATCCGCTTGCACATACCTTTCTCTTTCTCTATCTGCCTCTCGGCGGCTAGTAGGAAAATAAGAACACTTGAAGATAGAAAATCACATATTGAATATTGAATCGCGTTTATCTAAATGCACATGTACATGGCAGTTAATTACATAAACGGTATCTCGCTGTGCAGACTTCAAAAGAATTGCATTGATGAAAGATAAAAGTGTAGTAATATGTGTATGTAAAATGTTGTATTAATTTTAATTGTCGTTTATTTGCGTGATAATACATGAAATATCATTGTATTAGCATAGCGACGTTTATACGTCGATTATTCCGTTTTGAATGATATTGCGTATTTTATATTTTCTCGATAATATTTTTCTCCGTTAATATAAACTTCAATCACCCATTTAGCTTCGCAATATTTAGAAGCAATTCGGTATTAACGGAACTATCGCGATGTCGCATGAAATCGTTAAGGCGAGAAATTTTTCCGGTTGCGTCTTAGCGCCGCCGCTGCATCAGCGGATTTTTCACGGATCTCCGGAAAGCTTTCAATTCAGCTTAACTCCACTTTGATCAAACAGCTGTATCTACGTTTAATCAAGACGATCCCGTCGCACAGACTATATGGATGGGTGGGTATTTCGATTAGGCAAATTGTGCCCGACTGTAAATTAGTAATTTTCCGCTCGATGTAAGGATACACTGTGACGACCGTCGCGTCGCTGTCATTTGCATAATCGTTTGCCATCTTGTTTCACATTTTTGTTATCGCGACGCGCGATAAGTCGCGAAAAAGTTCGGTCGATTGTCTACGAAGGAACATGGGATAAATAAATTTTCTAAGCAGAACACGCGCGTGATAAAAGCTAGTGGGCGGTAGAAAAGCAAATGAGCATTTTTACGTCAAATTGAGAGACAAGTTTTAAAAAAAAATTTCTAGAAAAAAATATATGATGCATATAATATTTTATGATACGAAATAATTTTCAGTAGGTGTATGAATTTCTATCTGTCGCATTTATAATTCTTGAAGTGGTTTCAAAGAAAGTCTTTGGCATAGAAATTAACACACATTAAATTTTTTCACTTAGTCACTCATTTGCAAACTTTCTATCACGCTGACGATTTGAAAACGATTTAAAAACGAATAATTTCTGGTCTTTTGTTATCATCCGAAATCGATATCTAAATTATTAATCGCGCGTACAATTGCGACATTGCGAGCGGATTTCAATTGGAGGATTGATGGAACAGCGGGGCTGCGATAACGACGATTCCCGACAACTAATGCAGCGATAACGACGATCGCGATAAACAATCGTGCTCGTTATCTGCTCGTGACGTTAACACATAACGCCGGTTTGTGCAAATCGAACGTGTCTTACCGCATAGATCGAAAAGCGCATTTGAATTTTTCAAGGACAAATTTCTTTAAGTTGATAAAGTCCCGATGTGTGTGTGTGCGTGTGTGTGTGCGTGTGTGTGTGTGTGTGACTAATAAATCGAGAGCCAGGAAAACAACTGTGCTTACTATACACAATCGCTGCACGCAGAATATCGGAAAATATGCGACCGTCATACGCAGATTACACGATTTACTGGAATTATGTTTCGAAAATAATCGGACATTCTTCATATATGCTACATGTATGAGAAATAATGGGAAAATGTGGAAAATTTCCGCAGCGTTAAATACCTCGGCGTTACTTTCTAGCATTATTTTCTGCGCATATCCGAAACGGTCTACGTAATGCGTTCGGCATTAATAATATCTAACGACAGCACGCCATTCGCGCGTAATTGGCTGTCGCAATTGTCTTATTGATAAAGTGTTGTAGCTAGCATATGAGGTCGCCATATGTCGGGGATACAGAAGCTGAACCGCAAAAGAGACGGTGTTTCCTGTTTTCTCGTTCCTCTGCGGTAGCGAGGTATTTCCTAAGAGCGCTCGCGAAAGTAGGCACATTTCTACCGGTTTTATTTCACGCGAAATACATTACTATGAGACGTAACAGGAGAAACGTAATTAATTCATGATAATTTAACGTTGCCGAGCGGGCTATATTCTTGATTAAACTAACATATGATAAATATCAAAAAACAAAACGTGGAAAATTTATTAAACTTAATCGATTAAATTATATTGCTTTTGGTGTATAAAAAAGATCAAAGAGTTTTCATTGCAATGAATTAAAAGATAGAGATTAATGTTTAACAATTACGTTATTTCGCTCCTCGGATTACCAATTTGATTCAGTTAGGATCTGTTTTCGGCTTATATCGCACTGGGACGATTAGAATGCAAAATTCATTAAAGTATGAAAAGTTTTCCCTCGCGCAACTTCCCTCGTCCGCGCTACTGATAAACACGAAAATTGTGTTTACCTTTGCGGTAAATGACAGCTCGTTCGCGTATCGACCTATATTCCGCCGCTGCAACCGCGGAAATTTTCTAATCTCGTTCTACTTGGCGCACCGGCAGATCCGTGCGACAAAGTTGTGCGGCTTCCTGTTATCCTTTTGTTTTTGCTTTGCTGCGCCGCAAAACGAGTCTCCGCGGCGCGTGGCACGATCGATCCCCGGTCTCTCTTTCTCTCTGTCTTTCTGTCTGTTTTTCTCTTTCTCTTTCTCTCTCGATGATCGGAACAATGCGATCATTGTTTGATAATGGTGTCAGTAGAAAATTGGAAGGGCTTATACAGGTGATCAAACGCCCTGACTAATTATCTAACCGGTCGAGGGTTGGATGGACGCGATAAGCAATTTATGCGCGGGTTAGTATAGTACGGCTGATGGACCAAGTGTCCGTCGCAGGCGGCCATTATCCCCTGCGTTTAACCCTCTCGTACTTGAATTATTCCTAAATGTCAAAGAGAATATCGGTATACCTTTCTGTCTCTTTGATAATATATTGTCCTAATTGCCTATTAGGCATACGACAGTTTATTGTCATTTGTATATTTAGCAAACGGAGCAATTTTCTATTTCGATTCAGAACTTTGCGACTATATCATGATAATAATGGCACAATGCCAAATACAGAAGATATAACTCTAAGGTATACACTTTGGGGGCTCCGATCTCTACCATTGGTAGAATGATATCAATTTTTCAACATGTTTGTCGATATTTATTATGATTTTAGATTAATTATCAATAAATATACGTATTTTTTTAATTACGAATTTATTTACGATCAGAAGAAAAAAAAGAAGTCAAAATACGATGATTTTCTCGACAATCATTATGAAAGAAGTAGCAGGAGTCCTCCAAATCTTAGTGTAGTATCTATGTAAATAAGCGAAAAAATAAGTGCATATACTTAGGGTTAAATTTAGCATCTTTATCACATTATTTTTTAATAATAAATCGACCTGGTGCAAAGAAACTTGCAAAGAATCAAATTTAAATAAAAATTTATAATAACGGGTCATGAAAAACCTAACGTATTACAACTCTAATGTATTTGTATTATCATAAATTTTTATTTGTCTTAATAACAGATTCTCAGGATAATTTGAGATTTTTTTTAAGCGGAAATAGGGGGGGACTTCGTGTAAAAAGAGAAATCATTTTTGCTCCGTCATCACATTATCTTCTCCCGAGCGTTTTTTAGCGCAATCGTTGTGTATACGATTCGTGGCGCGGATCGAGTGATTAATCGCTCGGAGAGCTCGAAAGTCGCGATTAAATGGAGGAAGTAAAGGTCGCGGCGGTGCATCGGAAGCAATATGCGCCTAGATTTGCGCGTCGCGTATTGGCATGGGTGGTAAAACAGAGTCAGCCGAGCCGGGCCGCTCGCGTCCGCCCGCAGATGCCGCTCGCGTTGCCAGGTGCGTTCGACCAATGGGCGAGCGCTCTCGTCCCCCGTCCCGCGCCGTCGATTGGCGCTCCTGGTAGCAGCAGCACGGACAGTGATCGCAATATGGCTTCCGCCAGCGCCAGCGAGTGAGAGTACCTCCGATAAAGGTGACATCGGGTCATGGCGAGATATTCGGGGACGCAGGTGTCGTCGCGCGCGTTGAAATCGCCGCGCGTCAGTCTCGCCGTCGCGCGTATTCGCCCGGTCGCGTAATTGGTGCCGCGAGCGAGTTTGCAAGTGCGGCAAAACAATCGCTACGTGCGAAGGGAGACGGAGCGAGAGACGGACACGGAGAGTGACGGACAGAGTGTGCGAAAGAGACAGAGAGTGAGTGAGAGAGAGGGGGGAAAACGCGACGGAAGATCACTGTGCGCGTTGCGCTCCGTTCGAATCGAACGTTATCTCGATTAATTTCGCGCGGCAAGTGAAAAACGACTTCGCGGCGGATCGTAAACGGAGTAGCGACGCTGCTCCCCCCCTGTCCCCCGCGCGGTGCTCGCGCGAGGGAACGCGCTCGCGGGTTCTCGACGCGTCGCGGATCCGTACCGATTGTCCGGATTGTCGCGCGCGAATCCGAGCGAGTAGCGAGAGACGAAAAGAGAAAAAAAGAACAGGATTGAAATTTGGACGTTTGTGGCGAGTGTGTCTCGAGTTCGGCGATCGCGAATCCGAGTCGGCGGCGCATCACCGGTGTTCGTGCGTGCGTGCGTGCGTGCGTGCGTACGCGCGCGCGCGCGTGTGTGCGAGTCGCGTGCGCGCAGGTAGTAGAAGTAGGTGCACGTTCGGGCGCAGGGGACGACGAGCGGACAGAGCGGTGAATGAGCGGGAAGTTGCGATCGCACGGCCAAGAGAGAAAGAGAGAGCGAGCGAGGGACGGGTGAGAGAAAGAGAGGGGGCGAGAGAGAGAGAGAGAGAGAGAGAGCGAGACCGGCACACGCGGGGTGTATGACGGCGTTTCGGTGCGGCGAGGCGACGTTGCCAGAGTTTCCCCCCCCGTCGCGTACTCCGCTGTTACACGCCGCTATACTATACGGCGGCGAGAGGGAGAGGAGGGTGGCGGACACGAGAGCGACCGCGACGACGACGCTGACGACGACGACGACGACGGCGACGATCGCGGTGGTGTTGGTACCGCGGTGCCTCTGGTAGTGGTGCGTGCGTGATCGCGTCGTGCCAACGAGAATCTAGACGCGCGCCGATCCGTCCTTTCCCCCTTCATCCACCCCTCTCTCTGCTCCGCGAGCCTCCCGAGAAGCCGCGACGAGAGGATATACGCCGCGGATATACCATGGAACGACGCCTGACGACGTACGTTCGCAGAGACACGTGACATGCCGAGCCACAAGCCAGCGCAAGCCATGAAGAAGCCGCCACGGTGAGTGGAGAGAGAGAGTGCCGTTTTTTTTTTTATTCCAAAGTAGCGAACGTAGTCGTAGGTAGACACTTGGGCGTCCGTCGGGTGCTTTTTTTTTAGTCTTCGAGCGTCCTGCGAGCATCTCCGATTCAAAGATATTTTGCGACGAAAGAAACGTCGAGGGTCACAAGATAATCCTCCTGTCAGATTGGGCCGGGTTTAACATCCGGTTGAATCGATCCTAAAGACTCTCGGGACTTTTTCTACCTGCGTAGTCGGGAAGTTCTTCCCCGACAGTTGTCGTCGCAACCTGCGAACCGTTCGAGGGAGGAAGGGTTGCTCTCGAGGTTGCTCTCGTCCACCATCGATGGTGCGGACGTTTTAAAGGCTCTCTCGAATGGCGTTTAAAGGCTGATTCTCCAAGTTTTTCGTCCACCATTCGACGTCGGCGTTTTAAAAGCTTCGGAATGGCGTTAACTCGTGGAACTCTCGGGGGAGGGGGGAGTCACTGATACGTCACTGCGGCTACAGAGAGAAACGGGTACACGCGTCCCCGTGTGGTGGTGAAGCGACGCGATTATGGGGGGATGAGTCACAGAAGATTGACGCCTTGTTTATTGATCTTGACGCAGATGCATGGCGCTTGTTATGGCATCGTCGTTAGTTTTATTAGGGCCAAAGGTGTAGCATGAATTTTAACGATTCGAGGGTCGTTAAGACAAGATTATCTTGAGGATTTTCCGAAAGAAAAGCTCCTAATCCGCCGACCGCAGCAACCTCTGTGAAGCTATATAAGAAAAGTTAATAGTATTTTATTTTTATTCCTTTGGGTATTAATTATCGAAAGCCTTTTTTTGCACCGTATTAAGAATCTCTTTACGAGAGAGAGCCCGAAGTTTGTCAGTTATATCGAAATCTTTTGAAAAGCAGGAGTTAACTTTTTAAGAAGTTAGCAGGCGGTTTCTTTGATTCACTCGACATCAATCCGCCCTCGGTGAAAAATGTCGAAGGTATTTATCGTTTTTCAATCTTTCACGTTATGCAATTTTATAATCTAATTCCCAATTAAATTTCTGCCAAAGCCCGCGGAGAATCTGAAGCGGACTGCGTTCTTTTAAAGGAATTCATTAACGACGCAGAGAGTGATTTAACCGGGGAATGTTTGTCATGGAGTACGCGTTGCTTTGGATTAAAATAACAGATACAGGGAAACAGCGATAATATGTCGAGGCAGGAAGTCGCTTAAAAATGAAAGTGGAGAGATTCGAATTAAGCTGATAGAGTGAGGATAACAGATTATATATGGGCAACAGAGAAATAGTACGAACTGTATATTTCCTGCTCGCGCACAAAGAAGTTACTTCAAAGTTCAATTAGCAACGCGGAATTAGCGTCTTCCCCCGAGATAAGGGATTCACCCTCCGAGTTTTTTTTTCTACGGGGCATGGAAAATTTGCTCCAACTGGCGCGCGTAACAAAAGTTTCCAATTCGAAATACTTTAGATCCGCGCTATACCTACCAGCAGTTAGCGCGAAACTTGAAATCCGAGCTACTCGCCGCTCGTTCATGGGAATGAATTTAATCGTGTCACGAGTTTTATTCCCGAGCCAACTTTCGACGAGGAGGAAAGCGCCCTCGATCGCGCGCGGTTCTTCGAGCCGGCGCGAAGTGTCGAAGAGATGAGCACGACGTTTAGGAATTCGAGGGTCGAACTCGGCGCAGCGACGACGAGAGAACGTTCCAAATACTTGCCGGTCGTCGGCGTCGGCGTCCGTCGACGAAGAAGCTGCGTAGGTCGCTAAATTATGGAGCAACCGGGATAAAGGAGAGTCAGGGGAAATGAAGGGAGAGAAAAGAACGGCTGCTCGGCGTCGTATCGTTGACGCTGAATAATTCTCCGCGCGTTCAAAGGCTTTAATTCGCGATCGTCGTAGTGCAAAATTTTAGCTACTTCGCGGATCCGACGTTTTTCATGACGTGGCACTTTTCTCCGTGATTTTCCTTTGCGCTCAAGTTTTTAATTACTTTTGTGTGTAAATCGTGGTAAACAGAAAGAATGTAATAATATACAAACTTAACTAAGAATTTATTATAAAGACAGATTCACAAATACGTAATATGCATGTATGTAATAAGCATTCATATATGCAATATGAACGCTATCGTATTAATATATTGCTTAGCCTATCTATTTATTACACTTGTATATTAATTTCTTAAAGAAAATTTGATAAATTTAAAACGTCATTTTGCTACTCAAATAAAAAAAAAAAAAATATTTTACATATACATTAAATCGTACATTATACAATACAATTATATATACGCATTTAATACGTTTCAATCTTTTTACGAGTTGCAGATTGATAATATCCATTATTCGATTTTTTGGCAATTAATGAATAATAAAGACAGAATGACATCACAAGTGAGAATTATCGGAGTTTTGATGTAAATGGAAAGCAACTATATTATTTCAATATTTTTTAAATATTCAAATGTTATTCATTTCTTGGATAATTATCTTCTTCCACTTTTGCACAGTCTTCTCATTAATTATTCTGCACTTGATCTTATTAATTCTGTCCATTCTCGATGCATATCACGTGACATTAATCTTTGCTTTCTGTATATCTTTTATATGCTATTTTTTTCTGTTAATATTCGCGCGAGCGTATTTTCTTCTTTATTATCATACAATGTTTTAAGAGGATTATATGTTCTAAGAACATACACGTGCGATAAACTGCATTCTATGTTACTTGCTCTATGAGATGCGATGGGGAAAACGCTTGGGAAACCTCAAGGTTTCCCAAACCGACTCGCGGCGGCATCGCGTAATTATAAATCTAAGCGCGGTGTCAATTACTCGTAACCAGAGGCGATCGCTTCGCGAGAGAGGCGCTAACGAGTCGACGACTGCGAATCCTTTCGCGGCCTTGAATGCGACTCTTCTCCTCCGTCCTCGTCCCGACGCGTTGTTTGTACAGCGGCGCGTTATGCATTTGCCTCTGGGAGTGCCTCGTGTAAATAATGGAACGCGTCGGCGAAACGTTCGATCCTGCGCATTGGAAAGATGCGCCGAAACGCACGCGGTCGCAGGAGACCGCGCCTTCTCATCTCGAGTCTCGTTTCGCGACATCGCGAGACTCGGTAATCAGATTGATAACCGATCTCCCATCTCGCTCCAGCATAGGGTTTTTTTAATCCATTTGCCGATCTCGGATCCGCTTAAAATTCTCCCAAGATCTTCCAATTCTCTTTTTTCAAAATTTTCAAAGATCTCCAAAGATTTCCAAAGATCATGAGGATTAATTACTACAATATTAAACATTACAAATTAAACTGATTATTATTTTGGGTTGGCAATTATATTAATAATGTTATTAATTAACAACATTAATTTTTTACTCGATTTACTCAATTGGCCACTTCATTGATTATAACCGTTATGGCGTTTCGATTATTGGTTTTTCTCTATCGATTTTACTTTTGATGCTAGTGTAAGCATCCTTACTTAAATCACTATAAAGAATTTGTTGCGAAAAATATTACCCCAGCTAGGATTAGAACCTAGACCTTCCAATTCGACCATATGATTGTGAGGCATGTGATGATATTTATCGCAATTTAATTAGTTAAAAAAAACTTCTTGTTTTAAGACGTGAATAAATAATGTGATTGTGAATAATAACGTGGATAATAATGAGATCAACGGTGTAGATTAAAGAAAATCATTATTGTTAATTATTTACTAGTGAAGCAAAGTTTCTGATTAAGTTTTTGTTATTAGTGGTACACGTTATTATCGAAACACGTATCTCGTTATTGAAAGAGGACTCATCTTTCGTTATCCAGCCATCTGTTCACAACTTTCTTAAAATAACATTATATTTGAAACCGACGTTTCACTAAAAGTTTTTTTTTTGAATCATTTCTCTTTTCTCTCGACCTTTTTTCCTTTCATAATCGTTTTCGGGCATTTTCTCGGAAACTTCGACGCAGCAGGTAAACATCATTGTTTCCAATAGAGTATCTTAGGTTTAAAAAGATTATAAAATGTGTGGATACTTGGAGCATTTGAAGTATGCGGCCAATGCCCGGCTCGGGAAAAAGCGGAAGGAACCGAATAAAATATGTAGAAAACGAGCACCGTTCCACGCTTGATTTTATTGCTTATTCACCCCGTATGCTTCGTATCCCGCGCTCGACGAACGTGTTTAGGGTCGATCTCTCTACTATCGCGGAAGAGGTATCGCGAAGAAGTGAGCCCATAAAATCCGAGCGCGTTATCGCAAATTTCACGCCTCCTATCCGATTTAATCCTCGTACCTCCCCGTGATATTGTAAATTGGTCGATCGACAGACTCGTCGATTAACCGGTCGCTTCTTTGCGCCGTTTCCGTGATGTGGCTTAAGCCCGGTCTTATTTTTATAAGCATGTCCCTCGGTAAAATTACCTTTCCCGCGCGATTTGCGTTACACTTTCTTGTTCCCTCGTGGCTAAAGTTATTTATTTTCTGAAAAAATTGCTTTTTGACGAAAACAAGTAAGGAAAGAGGTTTTTGACACTTACGGTCTTAAAAACTTGATCGATGAAACCTTGCGTGTGAATAAATGTAATTATATTATGTCACAGAGTTATCGATAAATTATTTCCGTGTTGAGCTGTCCTGGACGACAGTCGTATGAAAATATGGCAATAATGCATGATGAAAATTTTACAATGCGACGCGATAGATGAGCTCATTTAACAAATCGAGAGAGAGATAGAGAGAAAGAGAGAGAGAGGGGATATACAACTCGTAGTTTGTGGAGCATACATTTGCACGTACGCGCGCACACGTGTAAGCACTCTCGCATTTCCGGCCGATTTGTAACGCGGAATAACGCGCTCGGCTGCTTGGCGCAAGGCTGCATTACCTACCTATCTTTGTATTTGCAAACACGCTGTCGAGACATAAACATCGGCCGTGCATACGCGTATGCGCGTGTGTGCGTGTATTGCCCACGGTGCAAC